TTATAATCCGGATGAAAACCGTGAAAATCCGGATATCCGAAAAAAAAAAAAATCCGGATCAATCCGGATTGATCCGGATACGGGTCGAGGCACTATATATATCATGATATGGGAAGTGAGCTTAATAAATAATTATTCGTTTCTTCAGTCAGGGATCTGCATATGATACAGAAGTAATCTGGAGTCCTGGACGTGCTCAGCAAATACAGAATTTTTATCTTCTTTTTTTTAGCAATAATTGATTACTGATCAGTTTATCTTTCAATTAACAGAACATTGAATCTAGTTGTTAAAACTGAGAGCATAGTAAACATGTAGTGTAATGATTGGCTATGTAGGGTATGGTTAAACATCACATATAAAGTATCACGTGACCGTATGTGGTACAGAATAGAACGGTCTAGGGTTTTCCTTATTTGGTAATAAACAATGTAGATCTGTAATTCTGTATGGAACGCGTGTGAAATTTTGCATACCCTACATACTGTACATAGGTAACCATACACTACATGTTATCGTGACACCCGTTAAAACTTACTGTCATATTTTACAGTATCTTTGAGCGTAACTACTTTTGATGTTATTAAATCATTATATTTATGAATTTTAAGAAAATATTTAGTATGTCATTAAATACAAAATTGTTTTAAAATAAAATTTCATATTTTAAAAAAAATAATGTTAAAATAGATGAAAGTTTTAATAATTTATTGTTTTGTCATAATAATTATTTTTTTATTTACAAGCAGATTGAAATTTTTTTACAATTATTAACTACTTTAATGATGAATAATATTATAACTGAATTCATTTGTTAATACGAATTTCCTTCATATAATAATGGTAAAATATTTCTTTTAGTTTTATATAGTTGGATAATACATTTTTTAATCTAACAATTTTAACACGATTCTAATTATCATAATTTTTAATACACGTTGTTACTGATAATGATAGTATTGATTGACTGTACTATATTTTTCAAAATTTCAATAAAGTACCTATATACTACTGTAGTATAATTTTACTAACAAATAATATTTCGGTGTTGGATGAACGGATGATCGACAAAGCTTTTTTTTTGTGAAACAAGTATTTTGTATGGGATTTATAAAAAAGGAAATTTCTTACATCATCAGCTGACTTCTTGATTTTAAAAGGCGCCTTTTTTTTTTTTAAAAAAAAAAAATCTTTTTTACTCTTTCTAGAGAGTCACATTTATTATTAATCCAATATGGAAGAATTTATGCTTACTGATAATATATTTGAACAAATAAAAGATTTTGACCATGAGGACCTAACTGAAGAACAAAGTTTGTTAATTGATAAGTTAATATTAAATGAAGAACTAAAAATACGTTATGAAAAAAATGGTTTATGCAAAGAATGTAAGCAGCCTAAAAATTATGACCATTTGTATCAATGTAAACTTCAACAAAATTTTAAAAATTGGGCTAGTGGAAATCATGAAGTTGATATGTTTATTCAAAAAACACAACTTAAAGCTGAAAATCATAGGGAAATTTTAGAATGGATTGAATATGATAGATTTGAAAATATTGAATACTTGACAAAAGGAGGATTTGGAACTATTTATAAAGCAATTTGGAAAGATGGATATATAAAAAGTTGGGATTCTGAGAATAATAAATGGACAAGAAAAAAAACTTATTGTAGGGATTATGAGAATTTTCCAGTTGTTTTAAAATGTTTATATAATTCTAAAGAAATTACATCCGATTTTTTAAGAGAAGTAAGTTACTTAATTTGTATATAATTTCAAGATATTGTCCTATTATAAATGTTAAACTATCTATTAATTATTATTATTATGGATTCCTTTTTAGATTGAAACACATATGATTCTTTCAAAATATATGGATATTATATCACTGTGTTTTGGCATTACTAAAGATCCAAAATCTGGAAATTTTATGATAGTAATGGGATATGCAAAAGATGGTAGTTTAAGACAACATTTGAATAATAGTTTTAATTCAACAAAATGGAATGGAAAGTTGAATATTTTACAAAAAATTGCACAAGGCCTTGATAGTATTCATCAAAAAGGGTTAATTCATCGTGATTTTCATTGTGGTAATATATTAAAAGATAGCAATTTTATTCTTATTACTGACTTAGGATTATGTCGACCAGCAAATGTAAAATCATCTCAAAATGAATGTAAAGAACTATATGGAGTATTGCCCTATGTAGCACCAGAAGTTTTAAGAGGAAAAGGATACACTCAAGAAAGCGATATTTACGGATTTGGGATTGTTGCATATGAAGTCTGTACAGGGTTTCCTCCTTATCATGATATTATTCATGACGAAGTCTTAGCTATTAGCATTTGTAATGGACTTAGGCCAAAATCAAATTACAAAATTCCCCAATTAATTTTAAACATAATTGAACAATGTTGGGATGCTGATCCTTTAAAACGACCTAAAGCAAATGAATTACAAAATTTATTAAGCAATTTATGGACGGAATCATATTATAAAAATCAAATCACAAAGCAAATTGAAGAGCAAATTGAAGAAGCAGATAAAATTAATAAGAAGTTAACTTCTTCTTCATTATTATATGATACTGGACCTACTCTTTCATATACTACAAATCCTAAAGCAGTTTACACAAGTAGACTTTTAGATTATAAAAATCTTCCAGAACCAAAAAATGGAGAGTATTCAGGTAATTAATTTCCTAATTTACTTTACAAATTCATTCTTTAAATATCTTATTTGATGTATATAATTATATTTTTTTTATATTATAGAATCACTAGAAGCAATAGATTTTACTAAACTAGACGGTACTTATATACATTAACCTTTTATATGATTTATTTTATTAATAATAATATTTAATAATTTATTTTTCACTTATAGATAAAAGCAGCTGAATAAAAGAAAGGAAGGGTATAAATTTCTTTATTATTTATTATTTATTTTCTTTAACATTACTACAGATATTATATTTTTATTGGAATGTATTTTTTATGATTAAATAAAGTATTATTATTTATAAAATTATATGAAAAATAAATAGAATAAATTGTATGTAATATGTTATAAAATTACAACAAAGTAAAAAATTACATTGTATTTTATATTAATCTTTAATATTGTAAGTTATCCAACTCAAGGGAGATTAAAAACCTATTATGATCTGGCCCTGATTTTTAGTTCGGGTTATATCAGGTACCTAATCCGAGCTGATCCAATTTGGAGCTCTAAATATTTGGATGAACATGGTGATTAGTAAATTAACTAGGTAAAAACACTAGGGGAAAAGAAAACTATTGTAAAGAACAATATATTAAATAAATTTGAAGCGAATATAGTAAGTTCGTTTAACATGTTGGAGTTGGAACTTGTAAATATTGTAGCACATCAGGAAATTTTTCCAGGTGATATATAGCGATATATATCACTTTATCGATATTTATCACATTATTTATAAAATGTGACATTTATCGCACTTGTCGAGTAGTATCGATAGGATAAATCAGGTTAAATTAACAATAATCATCCATACAGTTAAAAATCGATATTTATCCCTATTGTTAAAATCGATAATTATCACTACAGGTTAAATAGTGTTATATTATTTATAGTTAAATATTGTATTATTTCACTATTAAATAGCATTATATTTTTTCATTGTTAAAAATGTCATTTTATTGTTTTACTTAATAATGATTATATTATTTAATCTATATTAAAAATTTATCTAATTACTTCGTTATCTTCTCTGATTCCTACAAAATAAAAGCAAAAGAATTGTTAGTAAACAATTCCTAATAAGAAAACATAAAAGACAAAACCAAAACAGTAGAGTTTCGCAGGAATACTTACCGTTTTTAAACTATAATGCTTTTATTGAATCCTTCGGAACCTACAAAAACATAACAAAGAAATGTTATTTAACGTTTTTACTACTAAAAAAAATAAAAATACGGTAAGTTTCGCAAAGAAACTTACCGTTTCCAATTTTTAGTATCCAACCGAAACCTGTAAATGGAACCTATAATTAAGAGTTGAAAGAAATGTTAAAATGGTTGTAATTTAAAAAAATTAAAATGTTTAAGTTTTACTTCATAACGAAACTTACCCAAGTATCCATCGTTCAGTAATATCACCTGAAAGTCAAAACCTACAAAAAGAAACGTTAGAAATCGTTTCTATTAATATAAACAAAATAAAAAAATAATACATTTTGAAATGGGGCTTACCATTTCCATCCCAATAATGCCCAATTCATAAATCCTCAAGAACCTTACAAGAAAGAAAAAATGAAACGTTAGAAAACGTTTCTATTAATAAAATAAAAAAATTTAGTTTTGTAACATAAATGTTGCAAAACTTACCAATTCCGCATCTAAAGCTTAACACCAGATGGAACCTACAAAAAAAATAAAGAATGTTAGAAACGCTCCTTTAAAAAAAGCAAAAAAAAAGTTTAAAGTTTCATACTGAAAAAATCTCCTCAAACTTTCCTAAAACAACCTATTATTCTAATTCAAGATCAATACCGGAGGGAGCCTACAAAATAAATAGAAATAGAATGTGTGTCTCCTTAAAAAAAATACCAAAAAATAAAATTAAAGTTACGAAATTCGAAACTTACCGATATCTCATCTCTGAAGCTGAAGAAAGTCCAAAGATTCCAAGTCGCCGATTTACAAAAGAAAAGTCCAAGTGCTATCCAGACGTTATGAAGTCCATAAGCCCAAAAAGGCGATATCTGAAGTCCAAAACCAAAGGAGCGAAAATTTAAAAACAAAAAATAAATCAAAGTTTCTAAACTTTCTGCTTTGAAACTTATTTTTGGGTAAAAGAAGAGATGAGAGAAAGAAAGGTAAAGGAAAGAGGGGAGGGTATGAAAAATAGAGTAAGATAGAAAGGTAAGAAGAGTGAGAAAGGTGAGGGGGAAGGGCTAGTATCATTTAAAGAAAATTGTGGCTAGAAAGATGAAAAAATGGAAAAGAAGTAAAAAAAAGAAATAAACGAAAAAGGAAAAAAAAAATGAAAAATAAAAAAAAAACAAATAAAAAATGAACGAAAAAAAAGAAATAAAATGATAATAACGAAAGAATTGAAATAAAATGAAAGGGAAAATGAAAAAAATGGAAAAAAATGAAATGAAACGAAAGGTGAAAATGAAAAAAAAGAAAAGGGAAAGCGTAAAAAGGGGTTAAGTGGGTGAAAGGAAAAGTGTAAAAGAAAGACAGGTGAAAGGGGAAGGAAATAGAAGGGTAGAAGAGTGTGAATGAGTAAGAACAAAAGTAATGTTTAATTAAACTTTTTAAAAAAAAGTTTAAAAAATAGTACTTATCGTGTCGCATCTTAGTAGTTAATCAACGGAAAGTCATATCACATGATATGATACACATAATTGTTAAATAGTCTCGTAACTTATTTTTAATTAATTACTATAATATCATGTTACACTAACAATAGAGTAATGGAAAGTAATAGAGGAAACAAAAAGGAGAAATAGGACATTATGAGAGACAAAAAGAAGTGATGGGAGACAAAAAGAAATGATGGGAGACAAAAAGAAGTGATGAAAGACGAAAAGAAGCGATTAGAGATGAAAAGAAATGATGAGAAGATGAAGAGGAGTGATGGGAGACAAAAAGTAATGAGAGATAAAAAGAAATAATGGTTGATAAACAAATAAATATGACATGATCATGTGACCAATCTGGCCAATCAAAATATTAAATCTGTCACGTAATCGGCGATGTTTAGCAATTCCCAATTTTTTTTATATAGTTATATTAAGATTTAAGACAGTTTCATCAACTAACTTTGTGATAATTTTTGATAATTGACAGTATCCCAAATTATCATCGTAATAATATTTGATAATTATCAATATCGTGAAATAACTTGACGATAACTATCAATAATCATCAATATCACAAATTACCTGTTACATTTTCTGATTATTGTTAATTTGTTATTATATAGCACATTAAATTATCCATGAAAAAGGTACGGTACATACTTTTATCTTTAGTATACTTTGCTGTCAACATCTATTTTTTGATAACCATATACACAGTGAAATTCGATAAACCGGATCTATCGGTTCCACTAAAAATATCCAGTTTATCAAGATATCCGGTATAGCGAATATATTAAAAATCTATTATACTGAATTTTTTTGAAAAATTCATGCTAATAAAATTAATACACATTATATTTTAATTTTTTATCTTAGTTTTTAGTCATAGAGGTCATGAAAATAAATATAAAATATTTTAATTGAATATATAAGTAATATATAACTTTGGCCGGAATTAAGATTTTTATAATTCTGGCCAAAATTAAGATTTACCGCATCACGTTACTTAAATTTTATTGGTTAATGATCACGTGATCAGGTTTATCGAATCATTTTTACTATAGCTGGTTAGAAAATTGATCCGTTTTATCGAATATCGAGCTTTTACTACATAGTAAACTCCGGTATATCGAAACTATTTTAATATACGTGATTTGGTTCCAGGTTTACCGGTTTATCGAAGATCCGGTTTATCGAATTTCACCGTGTAACACATCGGGAAATTTTTACAGGTGATATATAGCGATATATATCACTTTATCGATATATATCCCAATATTTATAAAACGTGATATATATCGATAATAATCGCACTCGTCAATTATTAACAATATGTTTAAATATGTTTAAATTAGCAACTATCAAGATTATTTATTGTATTAAATAACATTATATTATTTATTGTTAGATAACGTTAAATTACTTTATTGTTAAATGTGGTTCAGTTTTATTATATCAATAAAATACATTTCTATATTAAATCTATACTAAATTCTACACTAAAACTATACAAATCTATTATAGTTTCTAATCGGATCCAAACATTCCTAATTGATACTCTACTAATCGTATTGTAATATCGTTCATTTACAAAGGTCTGAACCCGCCTACAAAACATTTTAATAAAAGAAATAGTCCACCTCTAAAGATTTGATGTACTGACCACCTAAAAAAGAAAATTTACGAAATGTTAATAATTGTTTCGTTAAAAGGATATAACTTTTTTAAAAAATATAAAAACTGATATCTACCTTGAGACTGAAGAACCAATTACCTAAAAAAAAGAAAAATAATTAAAACAAGTTTTTTTCTTTAAAAAAAAAACCTGATATTTACCTTGAAAAAATATCAATATCTACTTATCTAAAAGAAAAGTAAAATAAGAAATGTTAATGATTATTTCGTTAAAAAAGAAATTTTTTTTAAAAAAAACTAATGTCCACTAAAAAACTGACACTGTCTATAAAATAAAAACGAACTGTTAGCAAAGTTTGTTGTTAAATTTAAACATAGCCATTGAAATTCCATGCACTGAAAGATTTACCAAAAAAAAGAAAGGCCAATTTCACGTGTTCAGACCATCTAATAAAAAAAGAAATTTTGAAAAGTTAATAAACGTTTCGTTACTGTAAAAATAAAAAAAAAATAGGAAACCCACCCACTGAATCCCAAAGCGTCCAAAGACCAGGCATCTAATAAAAAGAGAAAGTCAAAGTGTCAGTATAGAATAAATAAATTAAAACAGAAAAAAAAAAACTTTTACCGAAAACTGATATCTCGCCTCCAAGAAACTGACCTAATAAGAAAAAAGAATAGTTAGAAACCATTCGTTAAAATAAAAAAAATTAAATGAAAAAAAAACAATAAACCTACTTAATTGCCGCTTTGATCCTAACCAAAATCCACATCAAAGGGATTCGAAAAACTGGTCTCCTAGAAAAAAAAATAACGAAATCTTAATAATTGTTTCGTTAAAAAAAACCTTTTTTTAAAATAAAAAACCCAATATCTACCTTGGAAGCTGATGAACCTGATCATATAAAAAAAAAAGAAAATAATGAAAACATTAATGATCGTTTCATTATTTTTTAAAAAACAAATCTGATAGCCACTTTAAAAAAAATACTGATACCTTCCTCTCGAAATCTAAAGAACTGACCACCTACAAAATAAAAAAAGAACTGTAAGTAAAGTTCATTAAAATAATAAAAAAATTAAAATAAAAAAATCTTTTGAAGGCAACAGATTTACCGAAATGTCGCGTCTAAAGAGACCGAAGAACACCTAGAAAAAAGGAAAGGAGGAAGAGAGAAAGAGCAAAGAGAAAGGAAGATGAAAAAGAGAGGGATATGGGAAAAAACGAAAAAGGGGAAAGGGAAAAATAAAAGAAAAGGAAAGGAAAAAAATGAAAAAAAGGGAAAGGGGAAAGAACGGAAAAGGGAAAATTTACGAAAAAAGTTTAAGCTTAAACTAAAAAAGCTTAAGCTTTAACGGTAAAATGATCAAACTGCCAATGAAAAAAACGGAAAAAAATGAAATGAAACGAAAGGTGAAAATGAAAAAAAAAGAAAAGGAAAAGTGTAAAAAGGGGTAAAGTGGGTGAAAGGGAAAGTGTGAAAGAAAGATGGGTGAGAGGGGAAGAAAAAAAAAGGGTATAAGAGTGTAAATCCCTATAAAAAAAAAATTCTTTAAAATGTACTTAAAATATACTTATGTATTTTTTTAAAATATACTTAAAATATACTTATATTTTTTTAAAATATACCTAAAATATACTTAACATTTTAAAATATACTTAAAATATACTTAAAATTGCAATTTTAAGTATATTTAAAGTATAAAATTTTGCACTTAAATTATACTTAAATTATATTTAAATTGCAATTAAGTATATTTTAAATGTAATTTAAGTATAAAATTTTATACATTAAATATACTTAAAATTGCAATTTTAAGTATATTATAAGTACATTTAAAAAATTTTAAGTACATTTTAGATATATTTTAAAATATATAAGTACATTTTAAGTATATTTTAAAGAAATTTTTTTTCATAGGGAATGAGAAAGGGCGAAAGTAATGTTTAATTAAACTTTTTAAAAAAAAGTTTAAAAAAGTAGTACTCAAAACGTAATACTACTGTCTTACTAGTTATTAGTATAAAGAAAATGTTTATTAAGTACACATATATTTTTTTATGTCATGACAATATAATAACTAGAGCAGTTGAGCTTAATAATAATTATTCGTTTTCTTCATTTTTTTTTTCTTTAGGTTCGATCAGGGATCTGCATGAGATAAAGAAGTAACTCAGAATTTTTACCTTCTTTTTTAGCAATAATTGATTACTAATCAGTTTATCTTTCAATTAATACTTTAAATTTTATTTTTTCAGAACATTGAATCTAGTTGTTAAAGCTTACTGTCATAATTTACAGTATCTTTGAGCGTAACTGCTTTTGACGTTATTAAATTATTATATTTTTGAATTTTAAGAAAATATTTAGTATGTCATTAAATACCAAAATTATTTTAAAAATAAAATTTCATGTTATTAAGAAAAATGATGTTAAAATAAGATGGAAATTTTAATAATTTATTGTTTTGTCATAATAACAATTTTTTTTTTATTTACAAGCAGATTGAAAATTTTTTTATAATTATTAATTACTTTAATAATGAATTATATTATAACTGAATTCCATTTGTTAATATGAATTTCCTTCATATAATAATGGTAATAAAATATTTCTTTTAGTTTTTTATAGAATTTAAAACAAACTGAACTAATTGGATAATACATTTTTTAATCTAACAATTTTAAGACGATTCTAATTATCATAATTTTTAATACACGTTGTTACTGATAATGATAGTATTGATTTACTGTACTATATTTTTCAAAATTTCAATAAAGTACCTATATACTACTGTAGTATAATTTTACTAACAAATAATATTTCGGTGTAGGATGATCGACAAAGCTTTTTTTTTTGTGAAACAAGTATTTTGTTTGGGATTTATAAAAAAGGAAATTTATAATAATCTGTGATTTTTGTGATCATCAGCTGACTTCTTGAACAATTTATTGTTTTGACCTAAATAAAAATAAAATTTTGTCAATCGCTGCTGTGCAACTGTAATACATTTTAAAAGGCGCCTTTTTTTTTAAAAAAAAAAAAAAAAAAATCTTTTTTACTCTGTCTAGACATAAAATTGGAATCACATTTATTAATCCAATATGGAAGAATTTATGCTTACTGATGATGTAGTTAAGCAAATAAAAGATTTTGACCATAGGTACCTAACTGAAGAACAAAGTTTGTTAATTGATAAGTTAATATTAAATGAAGAATTGAAAGAACGTTATAAAAAAAATGGTTTATGCAAAGAATGTAAGCAGCCTAATACATTTTATTCAAGTAATTTTAGTATTTGGTGTATGTCATGTAATGCTAAGAATTTTCAACAAAATTTCAAGAATTGGACTAGTGGAAATTATGAAGTTGATAAGTTTATTCAAAAAACACAACTTAAAGCTAACAATTTTCGGGAAGTTTTAGAATGGATTGAATATGATAGATTTGAAAATATTGAATACTTGGCAAAAGGAGGATTTGGAACTATTTATAAAGCAATTTGGAAAGACGGATGGATAAAAAGTTGGGATTTTGAGAATAATAAATGGACAAGAAGTAAATATTATTGTGAGCAATATGAGAATTTTCCAGTTGTTTTAAAATGTTTACATAATTCTCAAGATATTACATCCGATTTTTTAAGAGAAGTAAGTTACTTAATTTGTATATAATTTCAAGATATTGTCCTATTATAAATGTTAAACTATCTGTTAATTATTATTATGGATTCTTTTTAGATTGAAGCACATGTGATTTTGTCAGAACACACAGGTTCTAATATAGCATGGTGTCTTGGCATTACTAAAAATCCAGAATCTAGAAATTTTATGATAGTAATGGGATATGTAATAAATGGTAGTTTAAGACAACATTTAAATAATAGTTTTAATTCAACAAAATGGAGTGGAAAGTTTGATACTTTACTAAAGATTGCACAAGGCCTCGTTTATATTCATCGAAAAGGGTTAGTTCATCGAGACTTTCATTGTGGTAATATATTAAGAAGCGGCCATAGTATATTTATTACTGATTTAGGATTATGTCGACCAGCAAATATAAAATCATCTCAAAATGAATGTAAAGAACTATATGGAGTATTACCCTATGTAGCACCAGAAGTTTTAAGAGGAAAAGGATATACTCAAGAAAGCGATATTTATGGTTTTGGAATTATTGCATATGAAGTCTGTACAGGGCTTCCTCCTTATCATGATATTACTCATGATAAATTCTTAGCTATTAGCATTTGTCAAGGACTTAGGCCAAAATCAAATTACAAAATTCC